TTGTGTTTTGCCTTAAAACAATTTAAGTCTCTCTTTATCTCTAAAATTCAAAACTCCAATGAAACTTATATCTAAATTTCTTAAATTTTATTATTTAATTACTTAGACCCTATAAGGTATGGATATAAATATGAGATACGAATACGATACGAATACGAATACGACGATACGACAAAATCTAAAAAAATAGGATACGGACACGGCCAGGATGTGACTATAATAAAATATTTTTATTATTTTCAACAAATTTAATACTTATATATTTTAGTTGTTCTTTAACATATAATAAAAAAAATTATTAGTTTTTTTTTGTTTCAAGAAAATATATATTGCGTCATTATGATATATTCACAAAGTGATGTAACTAATTAAATGAATCAAAACTAATATTTACTTAGTATTTATAAGTAATTTTTGCTAAGATTTTAATGAAATAGCTTTACTATATAGTCTTTTGACATGTAATTGTAGATAATATTTAAAAAATACTCATTTGTCTTTGAAGTAATATGAAATTTTTGTTAATGTATTGTATAGTATATGAATTCAAAAAGATATATTAAAAGTTCAACTAAAAAATTATATATGTTGCTCTATTATAAAAATATATGTGAAGTATTTTAAAATTTAATTATTATCAGATACGTAGAAGGTGTATCCGATACGTATCTTCGAGTATTGTATCCGATACGGGTACATCAACTTTAACAAAATATCCGTCCTTTATAGTTTTAAACCTTATAACATTTAAAAATATTATACACAAACTCCCTAAAGTTTATAAACATAAACTTTGTCGTCCCGTAACATATCCATTAAAAAATTACATTCATATCTCCTGAAATTTATATAAAACTTAGACTTCGCAAGTTTAAAATATTATATTTAGACTTTTATTACTTATGGAACTAACAAATTTAACCAAATTAATTCAATTAAAAATAGAAAATATGGTGTCCATTATATTTTGATTCCTTATTTGATTTTTAAGTTTTATTCCAATAGACAATATATTTGTATTCGAATGAGTGTTGAATTAAGTTCTTTGACATATTTATACCTTTTTTTATTTTTTCCTCAAAAAATTGAGATTTTGTTTGATTTTTATGTTAGATGATATAATGGGAATATGCAAATGTGTTAGTTAAACTTATTTCATATGTTCAGACTTGATGATGGTAAAATTGATCTAAGGTGAAAAGTCCATTTAGTCTAAGATGCTCTAAGTATGTTCCTCCTCTCCTCTTTTTTTTTTTTGTTTTTTTTTTTTGGATAAAAGGGAAGGGGGACGGGGTACTTGAACCATTGACCTCAACAAAACAAAGCTTTTACATGACAAAGAATATCATTGGACCAAAATTCTCTAAACGTAGTTCATACATTCGAATCATTTATTGACCTAGGCATCAGTGAGTCGACCCTTAGAGCTCCGATTCATCTCTTACTTTTTTTTTTTTCGGGTGATCAAAGTCTACAAATTGACGTGGAGGTTATTCAAATTGCATCAACAGTAATAAATTATAATTTTTTAAAAAATAATTTGAATTTTTATTTTTAATTTTATTTTAATAAATGATATAATAGAACATACTTTTTGGTTCTTAAATTTAAAATATTTGATATTCTATCTTTAATTAGAGTATTTTTGATCTAAATATAATAATATTTTATATTCAAAAGGTTAATGTAAAATTTTAGGGATCTAGCTTTCCCAAAAAAAAATTTAGGGATTTAGATATAATTTACTAACAGTATGTGTGTATAATTTTAGGTGGGGTTTGAGCGTAATATTAAGTAATAAACCTTAGGGTCTAGGTGTAATTTTTCCTAGATTTTAAAACCCCACGCCATCGACGAGCCCTCTCTCCGTTCCTATATATTTTCCTGTTCTCTCTCTGTATTTTTCTTGCCTATCTCTCTTTGTCTCCCCTTCTCTGTTTGTTACGAAACATTTCGAAGCAAGCGACCTGTCTTTCTTCCCTTCTCTGTTACGAATTGATAAAATACCTCTGTTCAATCCTTGAGCCCTAGCTTTTCAGAGGAGGAGAATCGCCTCCACTACCACTACCACTACCACTACACTCCAGAGAATCTATTAGGCCTGTAGAGACTCCTCAACGTGCATATAAAACAGGTTAGGTTCTTGGATTTTCACTCCATTCCCACTCTACATTCTATGGTTTTATGTGATGTTTGTTTGCTGGCAATTTTTGGGGTTTGAAAGAAAATGTGGATTGCCGGAAATTTGGGGTTTTCCAATTCATAAGAGTGCGATTTTGTGAATGTGTTCGGGATTTTGCGTTGGCGATGTTGCAAGTGTGAATGCGTTGGTCATTTTTAGAGTGTGGATACGTTGGCGATTTTGCGACTTGTGGTTATTTGGTTGGTCCGTAGGATGCTTAGAAGACTAACAAAACAAGTTTTTTTGTTAGAGTACTTCTGAGATGAATTTCTCAGAATTATAGCTTCCTTATTCTGGTTTTTCTGGAAGGAAGTGGGAGGTTAGTCTTCGTTGTTTCTCCCTCGTTAGTAGCATAATTATTTATGTATGAGTTTGGATGTTTCGTATGGGGAATGATTCCTCCTATGTTGTTGGGCTCCCATTTTCAAACATGGTATCGTGATGTTTCCTTTCCATCAAGTAATTTGCCTTTTTTTTTCCTTCTCAAGGTGCTAGTTCTCTGGTCACACTTTGACATCGGTTTTGGTTATAATTATGTGTTACTGTTACTGAATTGTTTTCAGTTTATAGGCAAGTATTCGTAAAACTATTTTATTTCCCAATCACTGCAAACTATTATTTTTCAAACTTGGTTTATCTCAGAATTGGGTAACCTACTAAGCTTGTTGATATTCGCCTTACTTTATTTACCTTGTTCATGTAGTACCCAGCTGTCCAGAGGAAAAACCTATTTGGGTCAGGGATCTTGATGGAATTGGACTTTGTTCGGAAAGGGAATAGAAATATTTTTTAATGAATTGTAGTTTGACTTCAGAAGTTTGTATTATGGAGTTTGGAATTTTAAATACATGATATATATTTGACTGTTTTTGTTACACTGAAACTCATTCCTCTGGTCTGAGTTGAGAGTTGGTTTCGGGGTGTGACATTTGAACGTAGATATCCAAATTTCCCATGGCATTGGACAAGAAAGTTCGATTTATTTTTTAATATTCATGTTGTTAAATTTTGAAGAAGATATTCCTTTTAACTAGTTTTCTCTCTCCTCTCTTTTCGTGGACACCCCTAGTTCTACTTAAATGCAAACCGGTTTGTATAGCCTAAGTTCAAACATCTAATCAACTATTGTGCACAAGTTGAGGGTGCTCAGGTTGGGTTTAGTTCAGTTGATTGTTTCATATCTAGGGGGATTCTAGGCTGACCCCTCATACCATCCAGCTTGTCTAAGTTGCGCACCTACTTTTTTATGCATGTTTTTTAGGACCTATTCCATTCTACCAACAACTAAAAAGAAAATGCAAAGGAAAAAAATGAGATGTGCTGAATAAAAATGTTAGCTGGCACCATAGCCACATGCAAGAATTTGGCCTAAAAACATTTAGGGAGAATTATATTCAAATCTCCTGAGATTTGTCACTTAATCACTTAAATTCTCTGTCATTTGAAATATTACACACAAACGCCCTGAAGTTTGTACGCGTGTAACACTTATACTCCTATTGTCTTTGTTAGTCTATCCATTAATAAATTACACTCAGATCCTCCGAAGTTTTAGGCATACAATGTTTAGACTCCTCAAGTTTATACTTAAACAAAAAATACTCCAATAAAAAATAGAATATCAAATATTTTAAATTTTATAAATAAAATTCATGTTCTATTATGTCATTTATTGAATAAAAATCAATTTTTTTTAAAAAAAAATTGTAATTTTTTTTATCAATAAAAAAATCATAATTAATATACAATTATACTATCTATTGGAATAAAACTAAAAAATCAAACAAGAGATTAAATCGTAATGAATACAATATCTTCTATCTTTAATTGAGATAATTTGGTCGTTTAATTGATTTGATTAGTTCTGTAACTAAAAAGTGTTCTAAGTGTAATATTTTAAACTTGAGAGTCTAAGTGTTATATACCTGTAAATTTTAAGGGCTCTGGGTATAATTTACAAATAGATTTATTAACGGACATTGACGACAAGGGTCTAAGGTTATGTGCGTACAGATCTCAAGGGGTTTGTGTGTAATATTTTAAATGTAAGAGGATCTGAGTGATTAAGTGACAAATTTTAAGGGATCTGGATGTAATTTTGTCAAACATTTAATCTCACTTTGCAATAGGAGGCTCATATTGCTTAGATAAGTGCCTTATCCTTTCAAAAATAAACATTATATTATTCACAAAACTTATGTGGACGCATTTTAAAGGAGTTTCAGAAGTTTTAGTCCCTCAGAAAAACTTATTTCATTTTTAAAAAGTTTAATCATTTTTATGATTATCAACAAAAAAGGCAAACCATGGAAATCAAAGAAGCCAAATGGTCCAATCTCATTAGGACTACTTTTAGCCCAGTACTAAAGAAAATACAACTAAAATGGGGTTTAAATTAAACGTTGCCGCGCAAACCAATTAGGTAGTCCAGTTTGGTTCTCTTGACAAAAGTACTAGCTCCTCCAGATAAGTTTGTTGGTAATCTCTTCCAACTTTGATCACCCAGTTATTGCTGCAAATTAAAAGTCAAATGCCAGACCTAAGTATCATAATTTTTTATTCAAATTTTCAAACCCACGTAAAAATGGATGCCAGATTTTACTCTGAGGTAGCCCAATTCTAGTTGCAATTCGGGTGTTTGAAATGTCTCTTCAGAGGCTAAACTCTATACCACATTTGTGTTTTCTCATATATAGGATTTAGGAATTTTTTATATCATGACTCTGCATAAACCCTTGTGGGCGCTTGAGTTTTAGTATGATTTTGTTGGTGCATACCTATTTTATTTATTTATTCAGGTTGTTACATGTAGATAAAGCAATGAGCTTAAAACTGGAGTATGAAAATGGGGCGGAGCTTGGGAGTTTGCTGAAAATTCTCCCCCCTGTAGAGTTCTGTTGCGTTTATGGCTCCACCCTTCATCCAAATAATAGTGACAAGGTTTTTCCTTTTCTCTTAGTCCTTGACCTTCAACTTTCTTTTTTGGGCCTTTTATTTTGTCTTAATGACTTCTATATCTTAAATTCTTTTTTGTGTTGCTGTTACTATGTAGTCATCCATGGTAGATTACGTTCTTGGAGTATTGGATCCTCAACAATGGCACTCTGAGGTGAATGCTCTTACAAAATCAACCTCCTCCCCCCCTTGTTTCTCTGTCCTTCCTCCATATTAGAGAACAAAAGATGTGACATTTTGTAGACTCTAATTTGCTTCTTTGGCATTCAAGAATCTGAAGATGAACCATGATCATTATGCATCATGGATGGTGCACCTCGGCGGAGCAAAATTGGTGCTTGTCTTTCTTTCTTTCCCTCACGCTTTAGAATTTGTGCTTGATGCCTTTAGGCTTTAACACAATATATTCTTGATTGGTTGTCCTAGATTACTAAAGTTGCTGATGGAGTTGGTGTTGGTGTTCACTTCAACCCATTTGTTTCTTGGAAAGACAAGGTATCCGCCACTCATGTTTCCACACATGGTTAGTTTGCATGTTCCTTGTCCTCTGTTTTGTGAATTTGTGTGTGCAAGAGAAAGAGGAGGTGAGAACAGTCGCAGTGTATTGCATGTTGTTATTACTATTACTTTGTTCTATATGTTCGTCTTCATTGCATTTCTGAAATTCTCACCTCGAGTAGCTTTGACAGATGTTCAAATATGGCGTTGTTCGAATGGATGACTTGATTCAAGACATATCAAAGTGGGAGAGGTTCTACTTGAGTGGTCGTTTGCAGAAACCTGTATGCATATAGTTATTGGATCTCTCTTATCTATTTTTTCAACTGGAAAATAAGGCACAGAAAATGTCTTCGTCGACTTAATATATGTATTTGTTTGAAGTAAAACAAGACTTGATAATAATGCTATTTTCATGGGGTATATCGTACTGCCCCCCTCCTACCTTGTCTATCAGCGATGAGTGATTTTCACCAGCAATTAATGGAGGTTATACAATTGTCGAAGTAGAGCTTGAAGCTATTCATGGGTTTATATCGTGACAGGTGCAAGATATTCACTTCTTTACAAAACATAACCGAAGTTTAATAACGTGCTGATCAATCATGAGGAAACTCAAAAATAGTTCTTAACTTATTACGTTTCTTCTTCTCCTATAGACTCTGAGCCAGTAAGACCTACAGAGTTACAATAATATTCAACTACTAGACTCTGTTCAAAGCATATAGTCTTTTCTTGGACTATAAAGTTGAACTTACTATCACCTGCAAATCCAGATTTAGATTATGCCATTTTTTGGAATTGCTTAATGCTGATTGCCAGCATATACAACTTAGAAGTAATGTATCTTCTTTGTTCTGAGCAAGTTTGTGCTGCTCTTTCTAGTTTCTAATCCTAGACTGTGTTGGTATGGTTGAAGATCTCGCTTGAATACGCACAAACTTGTGTATGTATCAACGTGTACAGAGCCGCATTTTGTTGCATGATGCAATGAACTTAGGGATTTCTACAGCTAGGTGATGATCTTTTTTGAGGCATTTATTCCACAAAATTTGCATGCATTATCTCTCGTACTATCCCTATGTGTTGGTTTTATGTTAATTGCGGGACATTTTCTTATATACATTTATATCTGACATCAGGGGTGTCACCTATCTTTTTCCTTCCAGGTTCATATACTTGTGGATAATTTTGAGATTGGAAATCTGAACTCTGTCAATCTGAGGGCTGCCACCTCTGCTGCTCTCCTCCTTCTGCCACCCAAATTCACTGAGGTGCTTCTTTTTCACCTTTCAATAATTTAGGAAGCATTCATATTTAAAAGTTTGTGTACATGCAGGAAGATCTGTTTGCCAAAATATGTAGCCTATCATACATGGGTGACTTGCGAATGTTTTTTGCAGAAGACAGAAATAAGGTAAGGTTGATTTTGGAAGTGAAAGTATCCTAGGTTTATTTCTAGACGATAGAGATAATATTGGTCAGACTTGTGAACCTCTTAAGGACAAAAAATTGTTGCTTTTGACAAGCATACCAATAGAATCTCTGCTATTGCTGAGATATGTCTTCGATTATAATTTGGGACTATTTTTACTCTTTTTTGGATATCTGCTCATTGCATATATTTGTTGTTTTGGATGTGTTATTGATGCCTAACAGCTGATACAGCACTTCCTTGACCTGAGGTGGTTAAATGACCGGCATTAGTTCTTCGATTCTATTGAAGTTGCTCTTCTTTTACCTACCCCAGGTAAAGAAGATTGTACAAGGGCAGTTTAATTTATTCCGGGAAATGTATAAGCCATTTCTAGAAGAACATGCGACTAAGGATTTGTTGAGATTGTCATCATCTGCTGATCATCAATTGAATATATCTCAGGTCTGTTTGTATTCTCAAGCTCCTCTACCCATAGTTGCGTTAATTTTTTGTGGTTTGATGTTGATTATACTTTTGAAGTGAGCTCAACTATTCATCTTTGTTAATTATTTGGAAAATCAAATTCCTCTGGGCCTCTTACTGCAGCATAATTGGCCATAAGATATTTGTATATTCATTGTGAAACTAGACATTATTTTTTTTTCCCAGCAAATCAAATATGATTACTAATAAGGAAGCAATATTAGTACCAGAAGGTCCAGAACCATATCCAATATGCATAAATGCATATGGCTAATTTCTTATTGGTCATGTAATTTTAGTCTTTTAGTGTGTATCTTCAGAATTTCCAGGATGCTGATAAACATGGACAAAACATCATTTATGGTTACTAAAGTAGAAACCTTCATCAGGCTATTTATCTGAGCTGTAAAACCCTGTAACTTACGATCTGCATTTTTCATTTTTTTGAAGTGGGAGTTGAATATAGGAATCTTTGGATCCTATCCAACAAGTTGATGTCGTGCTGCAAGTTTTATAACTTGAAGTTAATTGAAAAGATTTAATGTTCTTTTCTGTTTTATGGAAGTCATGTTGTCTAATTTTGGTCTGGTGTCATCTACACACACTTTGTTTCTATGACTATTAAAATCAGTTCCATATGAAAACTGCTGACTAAAATTTCTTGCTTTAGGATGCAAATGATTTTTAAAATAATGTGCTTATGATGTTAACATGATCCCAAAGAGTCTGATATGTTTGATTCCCAACACCAGGATTGTCATTTGTCTGCTGCTTCCTCCCTTGTGTCTTCTCTTCCTCCGAGGGTAAGAAGTGAAATGGGGATGAAACTAGGCGAGAAAAAGAAATTGGATGAAAGTGGTATGTGCGCTCCAATAGGGACAACTGGTTTCTGAATTATTCATGACACAAAGTTATATACTAATTCTGTTTCTGAGGCAGATATCTTAATGTTTTTTTGATATTTTGAAGTTCTTTCTTTGATGTTTCCTTTACGCATCCCTAGTAATAGCGGATGATTGCATCACATCACATTTTCTTTGTAGGTCGAGTTATACGTGAAGTTGTGTTTAGTTCTAGAGAGGAGGTTGCAAACTGTCTGCGGAAGCTTGTGAGTCATAGGGTTATGGTTTCAAGTGCAAGGCAGGCTGTTGCTGGTTTTCTGACAGTTGGTGCTGTTCATGGAGTCAGATACCTAGCTAATAAAATGCACAAGGCTTGGAAATCGTGGACATAATCTTTTGATTTCTTTACTTTTCTTTCAAGTGGGATGGGTTTGTGTGCTCTGGCTGGAAACATGGAGAAGTTCCCCCATGACATTCAAGGTTTTTCCAACTCAAGCTTAGTGAGATTGTCATGATTTGCTGGTAACTTCTTCCTCCCCATTACCCGGAGATTAGAGAATTTAAGGTGCAAGGATTAGTTTATTTGTTTTTTCTTCTTGGTTCTGCTTCATGCAGATGTTGGTTTTCTTCTATTTGAGGGTTGAGGGATGATTTTCAAGTGGCGAGAAAGAAAGTTTTGTATCAATGATACATGAATGCGAGTTTCTCGCTTTCCGAAACTATAAAATTCTTGAATTTTTTAGTGAATTCCGGCAATTTTTTCCCCTTGTAGATTTGCAAATTATGCCATCATATTTTCACTTAATTTTTGTAATAGAAGTGTCTCATGCATGAACAATGAGATTGCAGAGTGATAATTAACAGAACCAAGCAATGAATCAAGGTATAGGGTCCTGACCAAAGGGCCTTGGGTCCAATGATATTTCTTGTTTTATGAAGGTTTTACCTTCTTAAGATCAAAGGTTCAAACTCTCCCTTCCCCACTCCGCCCACCCAAAAAAAAAAAGAAGGTATAGGGTCTTGATCCAAATGAAAGGTAAATAAGCCAGGTAATACTTTCTTTCTTCTTTCTTTTCACTTAGCTGAACAGAAGGCCACCTAATTCAGTAGTTGGCTATCAGGCCTATGATGACCTCGGTTATGAACTTTTCTGAAGCGGAATAATAGTTGTGGTAAGGGTGGCAAATTTTCATCCGACATAGAACTAATGAATTAGGGTTGATTATGTTAAAAAAAAAAAAATTAGGGTTGATTAAATCTTGACAATAATTAAAAAATGACACGATTCAATAACTAGATTAATTAATAGGTTAAGCTACAATAAAATACAATAACCTAATTTTGACACAACAAACTCTTGTATTTGTATATTGCATGAAGAAACTATAACCTTTTTTTTTTTTTTTCTTTATGAGGTATTGTACAAACCGACTGGAACAAAACCATTTTAATTGATTTTGCTAAGATATGATCAAGTGCGTTTTAGATGAAAATGGTACTCGTGGGTGCCGTGTTAATCTTGGTTCATAGGTTATGCTGATTAATTTAAACACAACACAATAATAAATATATTTAATTAATTATCAGAACATTTAACATGATTAGATAAATGTATACAGTTAAAAACGATTAATCCTCAATAGATACATAAAATCACACGATGCGAACATGCAAATGGGTCATACCTAGGTGATAAGATAAGGATGAAGAATTGAAGCCAACATATCACTAAGGATGCCGTGCATTAATATTTTATTATTGGTAATAAATCTGTACTTGAAAATACACCGTAACAACAAAAATTGAATTGATAAATGGATGGATCTTATCAATGTTAAGCAATTTTTGATATTGGATTCCTCCTTCCTAACTTCATATTCAAATCGTCAAATTGATCCGCTTATGAAATTTCCTTATAGAGCATACCTTCATAGCAACCGACACTTGTCAAGCACTAATCGGATACTCCTTTATTCATGTCTATAATTAAAACAAAAAAAGTTTAATTTTGGGTATTTATTGATCGCTTATTTGGTAACTGTCCAACACATATTTACGTCTTTAGTCATCATAGAAATATAAACATGTGTTGAAATATAATTGAAAAAGATTAAAAATTTGACATGTTCTGCTATGAAAAATATGACTGTTAGACTAGTCCTGCAAAGTTATACCAGAAATCCACTAATCAAAGCAATATATAAATAAAAATAGGAAATTGAGAACATAAAAATAATCATTATGGTAGTATCTGTCTGCTAGGTAATTTGTCCAAAAAATTTGATAATTATTGACAACTATAACTTTTTAGTCTGAAAATCCATAGTAGTTGACTAGACAAAAGCTTTACCAGACACAAAGTATTGAATCTCTTATAAATAGTATTAGAGCTATTTTTGTATTGATTACAAACCATATAATCTGTCTGCTATAGAACATAATTATTTGGAAACCTGTCTTCCCTTGCCTGTGCCCTACTTTTTTTAAAAAAATGATGTGCCACGTGTCCGTATCTCGTGTCTGTATCCTTGCTTCTTAAGTCTTTATCGTATGCGGCAGCATCAGGTTTTTCAGCAGTGTTCCATTGTCGGATACATGGAATTTGCAGTAGAAACTCCTGTAGTGCTTACCCAAGTACAGAACCAGGAGACCTAGCAGCATTTGCAACAGCAGGGAACATACTTCTTCAATGCATGGTTGGAAATGCAGCAACTGCAAGATCATGGACTCCTTACTTCACAGACTCTATTGGACTGACACCCAAATTCATTGTATATGCATACAAATCTCAAAGGTGAGTCTGACTTCCTGGACCCAATTGCTGTTGGAGTTCCTGGAGATTGCAGCGACAATTGCCATGATCAACACACAGAAAAAAATCAGTGGATTGCATTTGATATAAGTACGATAGTAATGAGATTTAACCTTTTCTCTCTTGTGGTTCTGAAGAGATCTTCCGATCAGCAGTTGTATGTTTTGCTTATGGAGAATTTGGCAATTTTGTCACAATGGCAAAGGAACAAGAAATCCATCAAGAGATATACCATTAGGGTTGCTTGGTCAATCAATGATCACGATTATATACTGCTTCATGGCACTTGCACAGAGCATGAAGCTAAAGTACACAGAAATAGACCCCAACATAGCATATTCTGCGTTGAAATTCAGTGTGTGGGGTGAAGTGGGCAAAGTACCTGGCTGTTCTCGATGCTCTCAAGGGATGATCACTATGGTTTTCGTAGGAGCACTGGGGCAAGCACAGTATGCTCTCATACTTCATGAGCCCACAGGATTCCACCATGGTTTGCTCCATCCACCTAAAGAGAGAAATCCCTTTGAATGCCACGCTCAATTACCATTTCCAATGCTTTGTATTGCTTTCTTTTCAAGATTGGATGAGTTGACAAGTTTGTTGTCTGTGAACACACTTTTTTCTTCATGATGATGGCAGTTGCGATTCTTGGGAGGAGACACTGTAGACAAGGAATTGCTCCTTGAACGGCGGTCATCTTTTTGTTGATCATTACTGCTTCCTCCACGGGGACTTTGGCTTACTGGGGAATGAATACACAGTGGTTGGGTTGGTTAGACCATCACGTTCCTCATTGATTCTTGAGTACAGTTATCAATTTTTTGCCGCAGCAACGAACACCGGAAGTCTAGGGAGTGGTTCCCATCCTTGCCAATTCCAACAATTTGTTTCTCGTGGGATCACTGGAGCTCAGGCTTTTACAAGTTAAGCATCAGCACTGCTGTAATGCTGATTTACTATACTTTTAGTCTCTATACAACTTTTGATGTAATTCATCAACAATGCAAGAAAGAATCACCAAAAAAATCTTAAGGAAGTTGACATGGAAAAAGCAGGACCTTAAAGTTGTAAAACTCCTCCATAACACTTCAAAAATTCTTCCATGAATGCAGTTCTACAATTGAAAGTATTGTATCAAACTTCTGAAATCAATCTTCTAAGTTAGGATCAAGTTCTCAACAATGACAAGAAGAATATATTACACATCTAGCAGTAATATTTAGTGGAGTCACTTCTAAGAAATATCACCACTAACCCAACTTGATCCTTGAAAGTGACTGCATAGGAATACTGGGAACCTTCTCTTTCTCTTTCAGTGGGAATGAAATCAATCAATGAAGAGAGAGAACTTTCAATAGGAAGCAGAAGTAGAGCGATGGGAGTTCTGTTGGAATAAAAATCTCTCAGTCTGATCTTGAAAGATCGAATCTTTCTCTTCTGCCATCGGTCATCCAAAGGGTCAGTTGTTTCGGTAGAGAACGGGCCAACCAACTCTCATCAATCAATCTAGTAGCATTTCCCGTGTCACCTCTTCTGATCTGTACCAAGGCTCTAGGAATACCATCAGGTTATTTTGGTAACAAAAACCTTTCAGCTATTGATAAAATGATTTCAGGCTTGATTAACTGGAAATTCCTGATGCCTCCGTCGAGCTCATAAAGAGAAAATGAGGACACCAATTTTGGTACGGCCAAAAAATAATAGTGAGAGTGAGAATGTTATAAAAAGGAAAAATTGGATTTACGGAAGGGGAGAAAACAGAAGTAAGGGAAATATAAAAAGAAATTAATGAAAGAGCAACGGGGTTTAGAATCTTTTATCAACAAAATGCGTATAAAACAATTTTTTAGACCTACAGCAAGTGGATCCCTCCGTGGCTATATGTAGAAAAGGTTATTACCTCTAGTGAGTGAGGACCAAGTACAAACAGAACATTACTTGCTGATAGTGTAGCCATTGCGTGGATGGACAATTGAGATCGACATTGGAAGTCGAGACGAAAGACTCATAATTCTTAGTCTGAAGAAGGGGTAATAAAGTTTAATTAGGACTATTTTTTGTTGGATTGTTTAATTATAGAATATTTATTTGACTAAGAGTTTAGTATTATTGGAAGTGAGAGTTTGGTTTGGAAAGTATACCAGGTCATATTCAGGTCTTTGGAAGGTGAGGAACGAGTGGAACTTCCTTCATCATCCATTGGACACCAGAGCTGTTATAGACCAAGCCTTAGTAGCAGTTGGACAGCTGCAGAAGCTACAGGACAAAGGGTCACCTCAACAACATAGTACCCCCCATGGCAAAGTGGAGAGCTCCACCAAGAGGCTGGCTAAAAATAAACTGTGATGGAGCATTCTTAACAAAAACTAAGAGAGAAGCTTATGCAGTAGAAGCCTGATACCACATGGGTAGTTAACAGGTGCATCTGGCATACCCCCTAGCTTCAGAGGGCTGGGCAGTAACACGAGCATGTAGTATGTCAATTGAAGAAGGATACCAAGTAGTGACAATAAAATCTGATTCTAAATCACTCATGACTACGACAGTATGCGCAGAAGCTCCCTTCACTTCAATTTCAAGCAATCAGAAGAGAACTGAACCAGCCGGTTCACATAATAGCCCCCAAACCAGGAATGGCATCATTCCCACGTACTGCGCAGCAAACCCACCTGGGAAGTTCTTGCAAATAGTGGACAAGCAAGCAAGAGAAGGCATTGGCTCGGAGGTACCCACTGATGATCCCCACCTGCCTAGAATTTCCTTCTGACTTTGTATGTTTTATTCCGAGTTATGCTCTTCTTCTTATTCATGAAGTAACCAGACCAAAAAAAATAGAATATTCAGGTCTTTGTAGGAGAATAGCCTATAAGTACGTAACCATAATGTTTTCATCAGTGTGAAGTTAATATGAATCTGGTACCATAGTGTTTCTTGGCCTAATCTGAGTGTTTGGTAATCTCCTCTTTTTTCTTT